CTAATCTAATCTAATCTAATCTGAAGTAGAATGTGTCGTTTTTCTTTTTGTGGAAAGGAAAATATTTTTTGGGTAGACTTCTTCATGCCCCACCTTATCTGTTACTCTTAAACTATTACTATATTCTTTAAAGTTAAGAGCTATATAGTTAAACCAAGTACATTCAAGCTGATTTGAGTCCTATCAACAGTGGAAATGCTGACAACTACTGTCAGTTTTTATATTTTTGAAACAATAGGACTTTTTTTCCCCATGTGCTGATTTGTCTCTTTTTGTCATTAATCTCATGTTATTTTTTTCTCGTTTTTTTCAGGTTCAAAAATGTCATGTTTGACATTTCACCCACTGAGGAAGTTGGGGATTTTGAGGTGAAGGCCAAGTTTATGGGAGTTGAGATGGAAAAAGTACCGCTTCATTTCCAGGTAAACATTTCCCAAGTGCAACAGGATTTCACGAAATAAAAGCAGCCCACTAGTCAACACTAAACCTGGATGGCAGATGGTTAAATTTCCTGTTCCTCTCATCGGACTATTAGCAGGAAATATCACGGAAACAGAGCAAATACTTTCCACTAAAGATACAATTGTTGTAATCAATTATCTGTATGTATTTATGTATTGAGTATGGAAAAATGTTAGATAGTACATAATGTAGGAATAAAAATATAATTGACTATTAGTCAGGGCCACAAATTGTATATAATCCATTTATGGAAGACTTCATTTTAATGGCAGTAATACAATAATTGAATCTATTACCATATAGTCAGAATTTATTATTAATGTTTTATGTAAACCTTCTATATTAACATCTTATCTCTATGACTGAAAAGTTAACCAGCTGGTTTGTGTGTGTGCCTCTCATTGCATCTATTTTTTATTTGCATCCAGGACCTCCTTCAGCTGCAGTACGAAGGCGTGGCCGTCATGAAGATGTTTGACAAAGCCAAAGTGAACGTCAATTTACTCATCTTCCTCCTCAACAAAAAATTCTATGGTAAATGAGAAAGTACAGGGGGAGAGAATGCAACAGAAGAGGAGGGGGGAAACAGATTGTGCCTTCTGACAGTACTGAGTTTGTTAAATAAATTAAATTTAGTCAGAAAACATCACATGGTGCAAGGCAGTGTTTTGTTTCATTATAATTTGATAGATCACACCAAAATGAAATGTTCTTGTCCGACTAAATGTATCGGTTGTGTATTTTTCCATGTGGTGATTGTAAATGTAATGTATTTTTTAATAATTAAATTGTAATGGTATTCATGTTTTGTATGTAAAAGATGTTGGGAAAAACACTGTTATTGTTACCTTGTATGTTAAAACAACTTTAAAGGTTTGATGGAAATTTCAGACGAAACAGTACTGTCTATTAGTTCAGAAATGAAGCTATAGAGCAACTTTCTAGCTGGCCTGCATGACCAGTGCCTTTTAATTAAAATGTTTAAAGAAACGTGTTTTAATTAATAAAACATTAAAAACTATTTTAAAAGCTAAAACGGATGTATTTTTAATATGTATTATCAGTATATAAGTGATTTCTAATGTTTCAACAATGTGCATAATAAATTACACATGCCAACAGTTATGTTTTTTCTCATCTGTCATCCATATTATCAGGAGTATTTTATTTATCCATTATTTAACTTATCAACAAATGGTTTCTCAGTTGTCTGCCGACCTTAAACTTCTTTGTTCACACATAATTTGTCTGTAATGGGGAGGAGATGTGCAGGGAGGCGGAGTATCCACACTGGACTGTAATAGCATGTTTGACAGAAAAACACCTCAGTAACTGTTGTGTGGCAAACAGACCATTTCAGCACACATATAGGTGTGAAATATTTGGTGGATATACAGTAGAGCCATGGTTCACCTGTCAGTCGTGGTGTTGGTGTTGTTTTCTCTCCACGGCTCAGCACTCACCTCCCAAAATGGTAAGTTGCTTTTTTAACCATAACCTTTGTGTAGAACTCTGTAATAGTGCATAAGATATGTCATTTTATCTGACTATAGTTAGTACGAGCTTGTACTCTGCAGGGTTTTATAAATGCAAGATAGGTTAACATTTACTTTATTTTATGAGCCTTGTAATTAAAAATAAATGTGGCATCTCCTGTCAGTTGCTTCAGCTATAACCTAGCCTATACAGTAGGAAACGCTTTAATGCAGGGATAACACTGCTTACCTGAAACTGAAGAATGGGCCAGTATGATAAACTTAAATCATGATTTGTTACTGTACTGTACTGTAAGTACTGTAGGCTACATATGTGCAATTTGGTGGTACTTGTAGTCTATTTTACTTGAGTATTTCAATTTTACCCAATCTACTTAATACATTTTTAAAGTCAATTTTGCTGATAATATTTTACTTGGGCTTTTACTTAATAGAGTATTTTTAAAGTATAGTATTACTACTTTTACTTAAGTACAGTGTCCAACATCTTCCCATACTACTGGTCGTGGTAGATTATGAATAGGTTAAAAAACCCAACTAAGCCTCCTGTGCATAACACCAAATTACCTCCAATCTATAAATGTACTAATTCTATAATGTTAAATGTGTGTAGTGCTGCATCATATATTTGTAAAACATATGAAATTATGAAAATATTCTTTTAAAGAGAAGGTTTGGGCAGTGAAGAAGATTGTCCCAATTGCTAAAACAAAATGAAACACAATTTGCCCCTAAATCTGAACTGAAGGAAGGAAAATAAAGAAATGGTCCAAAGTAACTGGATACCTTTCACAGATCTAAAACCTGAGAAAATAAAGCTAAAATTCTGCATGGCTAGAGATACTGTAACTGAGAATTGGGTATCCTAACTGTTTAAAAAGTGTGGGTAACAGTGTGCTGTACATGCACTTCAGAACACCACTAATGTTTTCTGCTCCGTTTCCCTGTCTCTTTCAAGGCTCAGAGCTCCTTCCACGAACTTTCTCTGGTCACTTTGTAATGGTCACAGATGAGCCGGTAGAGTACATTGACCTATCTGTGTTGGACAGTTTGAAGGATGACGGGGGGTCTGGCTCAGGGTTGGAGCAGGAGCCAGTAAAGAGACATGGCCACCATGGCCCACACCGGCATCCCCAGAAGCGCTATTCTGTCTCAGAGGAAGCCAAAGCTTTTCTCCAGGGTCGCCTGGCAACAAGCTTTGTCCCGACCATTTACACCCTCGTTTTCATCATCAGCGTGCCCCTCAACCTTGTTGCCATGGTGATGTTTGTGCATCACATCCGTCCAAGAAAACCAGCGGTGATCTACATGCTGAACCTGGCCTGCGCTGACCTGCTGTTCGGCCTGCTTCTTCCCTTCAAGATCGCCTACCATTACCATGGCAACAACTGGATCTATGGCTCCTTCATGTGCAGAGTTGTCACAGCAGCCTTCTACTGCAACATGTACTGCTCTGTCCTGCTCATGACGTGTATCAGCATTGACCGTTTCCTGGCCGTGGTTTACCCCATGAACTCGCTGACGTGGCGCAGCCCTCAGACAGCTTCAGCTGTGTGTGCTGCCATGTGGCTGTTAGCCCTCGGAGGAGTATTCCCTCTCCTGATCTCTGGGCAAACCATCTATTTGCCAGACCTGGGCATCACCACCTGCCATGATGTGCAGGATGTGGAAAACTTACAAACTTACTATCTTTACTTCTTCCCCATCTACTCCTCTGTCTTCTTCTTCATCCCTCTTGTCTTTACTGTTGTCTGTTACGTACGTATTATTCAGGCTCTGGCAGCAGCCAATGTGGAGAATCGCTCCAGGAAGACTCGAGCTGTGGTGATGGCTTTAGTCGTGCTGGTGGTGTTTGTTGTCTGCTTCACCCCAACCAACATCATCCTGATGGTTCACTATGTTCAGCTGTCCTTTAAGTCCAGTGACAGTTCCTACCAGGCATACCTGATCTCCATGTGTGTAGGCAGCCTCAGCTGCTGTCTGGATCCAGTCCTCTATTACTTTGGCTCCTCTCAGTGCCAGAAGCAGGTGGGAGCACTGGTCAGATGTAGGCGACTGGTACAAGCAGAGAACAGCTCAGGAACGCAAAGTACAAGAACCACCGGGCGGACAGACAGCAGCAGGTCATGCAAGATGGAGAGCATTCAAACTGGCATGGGGAGCCAATACAGCAGACTGGTGGCTTAAAGAAGCATTTCACCCGTGGAAACATTAATCTTTATTGAAAGTGGGTTATATATGTAGTCGAAATGTAACATAAATTTTGAATTTGGTGCCTATTTGACCGAGAAAAGAGTGTTTGTAGTCTCACGCAAACCCCCTCCCGTACAAAGACTATGAGAACTAATCCTGCTTCCAGTGATGCCAAAATTTACCGAATTTTTACATCCATTGGAAGCAGAGAAGTGGCAACAACTGAAATCCGTATTCTCTCCCATTCAAGGGGAAAATGGAGGGAATGGCGGCACCGACCATTTCAAAAATACTGAGCTGGGTTTTCCTAATTGATGACTCAAAGCCTAATGCAAATAGGGTGACAGTGTCTCTTTAAACTACATGGCCGACCGAGGGCCCTGCCCTGACAGAAGAACTCTTCCAAATACCACACACACACACACATCAACACACACCACACACACGTCAGTATGATCACTCAATTGTCAATGTGTATATGAACTCGCTGACTAAACCGGAAAACGCCTTGGATTTCATTTGCACT